CGACTTACGCAGCACAAGGAGGTAAATGTGGATCACTACACCATCCTGGTTTTTCTTTAGTATCTCTGCTCACCAGTAAAAAATACAGATTTCTTAAATTAGAACAAGAACAAAAACAAAAGCGCAAAGTATTGTTCGAGAGAGATTTCTTACTTGTGGACCTCTCGGTCACCTCGCCTCTTTGTCATTTCCCATGTAAGTCCATTGTTGGGCTCTAGACCTGGTTGAGATATCTCTAAATCATGCTTCTTAACTAACTCCATGTACCTGAAGTATTAATAGAGTTACATCACAAAATGTAAAGATGACATTGTTCTGCTACTTCATTCAAAGTAACTTACTTATCTGCATTGAAGTGCTCCACTCCAAGATCTTCATCCCATATAAATATGTACTCATAAGCTGAAACGACATCAGGATGCAAAAACCTCTTAGCGTACCACCTGCGAAAATCAGTTGAGAAATTTGATAAAGCACACTCGATAAAATGTGTCCAGAATGTTTGGCATAGCGACCGCATAGCTTCAAACTACAAGATCACTAACCATTTTGTTTGCTTTCTTGTACTAATATGGATCGCGCTCTTTGACCACTCGAATTGGTCCCATTCAGTCGTCCGACCGTCATAATGGAAGAGTAAAATTTGAAAATCTTCAGAAAACTGAAGAAATGACAAGAAAACAATCTCAACGTATCCAGCAAAGAAAATATACAAATAATACTGGCACATGAGGTTATTGCAGAACCTTCTTAACAACTGTATTAATATGGTTCCGCTGCTCAAATCCAACTGTAAATGTCACAAGATATTTGGGCTTCTTCTTCAAATCCTACAAAGGTTTACCCACCAACACTATATGTCACACGTAGACTAAAAATTTTAGTAAAATAGATATAGAAGGCAGCACATACTTCATTAGGCTCTCCCCATAATCTGCGCACGTAAAAATCAGTTTTTGCCACAACAATTCCTGGAGGTAGTAGTTCTGCACCACGCGGGTTGGTTGGAACGTATATCTGCAGTCACAAAGACAGAATCGATACAGTTAATCCGAAAGCAGTTCCAAGAATCGGAGTGAGGCGGCACTATTCTAGTAGACATAATTGAAACCTTATCGTAACAAAAAGATTTCATTAGTTTATCTTCAATAACAGAATACATACCTGAGGAAATTTTCTTGAACCGAAATCCTCAGGGGAATTGTGACCAGATAACAATTTCCCATCTGATATGGCTACATCAAGAGATGATATAAGTCCCGAGGGTAAGTTAATCTGCAGGAATATGTAATTAAAAAGGAATTAAGAGGTGAGAGTGAAAGGGAACATATAAGAAGAAGATGTACCTCATACCTTAAAAGAAAGTGAAGGTAATGTGATACCAATAAAAGTCCCAAAGAGTATTCCGAGGATCGTTGTGATAATAACCTTTGCATTTTCATTAGTTCTTCGAGGAGCAACACTGCAAAGCTGAGCACTAAGTGATCTTCAAAACTCAGAAACTCTTTGTATCTACAACTATTATGCAGCCCACTAAACATACCTCCGGTGCATTGTTCCCATTGGGTTTGCTTTGCTCCAACCAACTGACCAAGTACTTTAAGTCTTGAGCAAAACTTGGTGTTTAAGTACTGACCAGCAATAAAAAATAAAAATAAACGTCAGATTTAGGAAATCTTCAGAGTTTTTCAAAAGAAAGTTGACATTTTTATAACATCATATTCTATTGCAAGATGTCACCAGCTTAACAATTCACAGAACAAACATGAGAGAAATTCAATCAATCAGAATTAAATGAGGAAAGAAACATGTAAAGGTCATAATCGAATCCTAATACTGATTTATATGTATAAACTCAGCAAGAAAAAGAGATAAATAGCAAAATGAATCGTTAAAAAAAGTCCGTAGAATGAGATTGCTTACAAGACTAGATCTCAGAGATCTGATGAGAATCAACACGCCGGTGATAATAGAGTCGGAGGAGA